AAATATGAAATTTTGTTGAAAATGTTTGAATACTGAACCGTGGAACAAGTGTGTTGAAAAAATCTACTCACASAAAATGTTGTCTTCAACTTCAACTGACTTTGAACTTGATCAACGTAGCAACAGCTTTATATCATGTAAYTAACCTCTACAATTTTTTCTTGAAAAATATCTCCAAAAATTATAGTTATTAAATCCCGCTATTTAAACATCTGTTCTTCTCAGATCTTTCGAGATTGAATTGTTTTCGTACGGAAAAAATTATGGTAGATTACAATCCTTGTCAATCACACGCGCGAAATTATATTACGATCTACGAAGGTTTTTGTGTTTTTGAGACGTCAATCAAAGCGTTTCCATGACATTCCATAGTCACGTGCCCTTGAAAACTTTGTATTTTCCGACTATATTATGGAAACACTTTGATTGACGTTCACCAAGTTGTACGATTTCGCGCGTGTGATTGAGAAGAGGCAGCTTACTATAGAGCTGTAAAATAACGTAAAATAACTGTTATGAATCTCGCATTCTGACTGGTTGGGAGCGCATGCATTATGAGAGAACACAGCACGAGCGCGTACTTTCAGCTACGTCATTCCTATCCAAAATAACGGTTATTGTAATTTGTTTCTTATGAAAGAAAAAAACCTGCTTGCTGTGGTATGGAGCTAGAAAGCACCTGAGGATATGCAGAACACTCGTAAACTAGCACTCCGCCCACGCTTCGATTCGTGCTTCTTCTAACACTTTTTTCGTATTCTGCCAACCCCTGCGTGCTTTATAACTGCCACAGCGCGTACTATAGTCTTAAATATAGTCTTCAATATAAATATTAAATTGTATTTTTTAATTACTTTTTACTGTACTAAATATGTTCATGCATTGCAAGTCCAGATGTAACGAGAGTTTGAATAATAGTGGTGTTATATGCATACAGATCTTTCTTAAATTCGTTTTTAGTCACTGATAGTTTATCTTTGAAATAACATCTCCTTCTTACCACTTAAAAACAAAAAGGCAAAGATGCTTACCTTAGTGTGGATTTTCATTCTCCGCAGAAATCAAGTGAATTTAAACTTCTAAATTCCAATTGATATCCAGTGGAAAAAGAGCCAATCGTTGGAACCATTGTCAATCCCCCATTTCATTTATCTTAGCAACATTCTTCTACTTTCCTGTTGGAAAGTGCAAGTTTAGTAATAGGCAGATTAAGATTCCCGTTTTTCCTTCCCGCAAACGGAAAACGTGACCACGTTTTCATCGTTTCCCTACAYTTCACTTTACCTTTTGCAAACCTTCTCGACAAAGACAAGTATCCTTTTGTTTATCTAATACTTGGAGATTTTTGCGATTCCTTTTCACTAATTTTAAAGAATTTTTTAATGGTCAACTGACGTTTCACGTTTGCCGTTAACGAGAATCGTAAACCCTAATATTAAGTAGTGGCAAGTCGCATAAATTCACGGTGAATTATTTCAAAAATTGAAAATACTCTTTGAGAACGAGTTTCTGAGCTTCCTTCTAAAAACACACACGAAATGCAATAGTGCAAGTCAGTTACTGAAAAACATATATTTATATTCCTGGCTTTTTGTTCATTTTTATCAGATTTAGTTTGTAATTTTCATACTGTATATTGTATATTATATATTCTACAGAACTTCAGAATACTAAGCTGATAATATTTTTTTGAAGTACGTTAGAATACTTTTATAAATTGGATAAAATGATCATGTTTTCCCTTTGCAACGTGTGCTGAGACAATAAAAATTTCATAGTACAATCATGTTCTACGAGGTGGCTCCAAAATACCCGAACAAACTTAACACTTCAACATCAAACTATCTGAATTCAACCAGTGAAACCTTTAATACTCTAACAATAAACTTCCAAAAAATGTTGTATTTGACCTTACTTTATGGAGTAAACTGGAGCAACTCAACGGGTCTTAACTGGTGAAAGCTTGGACATTTGCACTTCTCTCATCGATCTTCGACCTTTTGACTTAATGATGAGAGTTATTCAATATGATAAGAATCCTATTCCGTTAAAGCCATAGTAGTTTGTTAGTCTGTACCATTTGTACAAGGTATTCGGTGCGCGATGGAGTCGACAATCAAGTGTTTTCTTGTTCTGGTATCGTTATGTTGTGTACTTGTAAAGGGTTTGCCTATTAAAGGAAAGGCGAAACGAGCGCCTCAAGGGTTTTATCTAGGACCTTTACAAGGTATGTAATATTGGTTTTGACACTGAATCCTTTTTAAAAAAATCGTTTTTATAAAATTCAAGGCTACATACATAGTCAAGGAAATTTTGAAACGAATCACTAGACATCGAACAAAAAAAAAAAAAAAATTCAAACGTTTTCTGCCTTCTCTGTTAACGGAAAGTCATCTGTTGGTAGTTAATTTCTGCAACATTTAATGCTTTAAATTCTAAAAACATTTTGTTCAAGGCTTTTTCTGAACGAAGTATAATAGATATAGTACCGTAGCCACTATAAGGCAAGCGAGGCAGTTGGCTCGGTAAATTGTCACAAATGCCTCTCAGTATTCAGTAAAATCGCTTTTCCAAGGGTCTCAATTTCAAAAAATTTCCCCTAATTGCTCCCCCCCCCCCCCTTGTTGCTTCTTTGCCTCGGCATATTTACTTTCGCATATGGCTTTCATGTACATGTTTTGACAATGCTTTCCAAAACACGTTCAGTCGGCTCTAGTCAGTTAGTTAGGTGTTAATAGTTAGTATAGAGTGGTTTTCAAAAACTCGTGAAATACACTTACAATACACAATAACAATACAATATTCAGACACTTTAATACACTTTATTGTCCACACTTTCTTTTGATTTTCTTTTGTGTTTTCTGTGTATTACAATTTATTACACCTTAGTTATTACACTTTGTTTCACGGGTTTTTGAAAACCACTCTACGTTGATGGGATTAAGGTGACGTAATCTTTGAGTTGATTGTTACTAAATTGAATTTTTTTCGTTGGAATGTTCTGCATATTGACACCAACATCCCACTGGTAATATATCTATAAATGTTATCATTAATCTATCTGTTAATTTTTGAAATATTTCAGCGAGACCTGGCCTTCCCCTTCCAAGGATCAATGGGCCACCACCAACCATCAACACTCAACCACAGTTTTTACTTCCTCCTCGACCTGGATCAGTATGGCTCCGCTTCCCAGCCCCCGCCACAGCCTTCCCACAACCTTTACTTTCCCGCCCTCCAGTTTTACCACAACAAAGGTTTGAAGCTCCACGACCCGTTACTGAGTTACCTGCAATGGCGACAATGAGATACGATGACAAAGAAGGCCATGAACACCACCGCGAGCCTTCTTCCCCAGCACCTGAGCCTGTTCCTCAGCCTTTCTTTAACCCAGTTGAGCCTTATTTTTATCCTCATCAAGCTGTATATGTACAACGTCCTCAGCCTTTCCCTCAACCATTTCCACAGCCGTATCAACCAGTGTACCAGCCTTACCAACCGCCTTACTATCCTCACAACAAAGAGTATTTACCAAAGAAAGAAAAGAAGGTTAGTAGAATAATCTGGGAAAATGTTATCAAATGTAGAGCTAGTTCGTGTGACGTAATCTATTGTCGTTACTATGCCAACCAGATATTGATTCATTGTTGAGACAAAGCAACTTGAGCAAAGAGCTATTGTGATGATGTTTGGTAAATTACTAACAGTAAAACAGATACTGTGTTGTTTTTGGGACAATATTTTAATCCCTCTGGAAAAATTTCTGCCACGGTGCTGATTGGTTCGCTATTGCCTGAGGGGGACCATGAATTAACACGTGTTCCTATTAGGTCAAACTAGCTTATGATCTAATAACAATTTATTAATTCATATTGCTTAAATATCAATATCAAAATTTTCAAATGCGCATTTGGTTTTCCTTTGACGCTCTTGGTTTTGTTATTAAGGATTTCAAGTCTTGCCTCGATTATCTTCGTCATGGTTCTTCCACAAATGGTGGCTACACGATTTCTGATGATGATGGCGATCACTACCAGGTATGGTGCGACTTCCATGCTGAACCAGGTTTTGCTTGGACACTCATTATGTCACATTCGCTAAGAAACACAAACAATACTGCCTTCTGTGATTCATCGCTTTCCGAGAACATCCCCATCCACCAAAACTCCCCGAACTGGGACGAGTATAGGCTGTCGAAAGAACGCATGGATTCTCTAATCAAGGAGTCTTCACACTGGAGATCAACCACAGGCTTCCCATTACATGGAGTGGACTTCCGTGATTACGTCCGAGGAAATTTTAAAGACTTCAATATCATGGAATTCGAGGGCAAAGGAGAATGCAAGGCAGTGGATTATATCAATATTCGAGGTTTCCCAGCAGCCCAGACAAAGGCCCAGTTTTGGCAGCGTAAAGGAAAGCAGGCCCTTCATATTGATAGTGCTCAGGGAGAATGCGATTATAGGCCCTTTTATGGCACCATTGTGGGAGAAAACAATTTTGGGTTTTATTGTGAAGGACGCCACACATTGAATCCTAGTTTTAGGGGAACTGAAAACGAGGCTAGTAATACTCAGTGGTGGTTTGGGGGTAGTATATACGACCAAGAGTAAAYATGTGGGATATAGAGAATATTTCTTCAGTAAATAAGTCGAGGAATGCATTCGATTCAAGAGATCTTGTACCAGAAAAAAATAAAAGTTTTGATTTTACATCACTTCCTTCGTCGCGTCACGTCACTTGCTTGCTTGCTTGCTTGCTTGCTT